GGCGCGGCCGGGAGGACGGAGGCCTGCACCGTCCGCGGCCCACCGCCCAGCCCCGCTCCGAGAAGACCTGCTCGGGGCGCCGAGCGACTGCAGTGAGCAGCCCCGAGGATGCCGCTCCGCCCTGCTGCACACGGGGACCCTGGAGTGGAGCCCGGCCACGTCCCCCGAAGATACCAGACAGGGGAAGGGCGGTCACCCCCACGTGCTGGAACTAGAGAGAGCTTGTTCCTTCCTATGCAGTTTGATTTTTTCCACATTTTTTATAATGAACGTAGATGTGTACTCTGATTAAAAACAACAACAAAACCCACAGAACCCAAACCGTCCGGTGTTTTTTGGACAACCCATTTAAACTAAGCTAGGTAGCTCGGAAAGAACTGGGTGTCATCCTGGTCACTGCATTACGAGACTGCGGGGGCAGCCCAATCAGGTGAGAAAATGGTGCTCCTAAGGATTATTTGTGACGTTGCCCTGTTTTCAAGGATAGCAGTGGAGGGCCCAATCTCTTCGCAGAAACGCGGTGAATTATTTTAGCCATAGTGCTGGTGGATTTACACAGATCTCTCACCTTCCACGGTCTCTCACCTTTCCATTTTAGGTTATTTTCTACTTCCCCCCCAAGCTTCTGGGACTTTTCTATTCCTCGCTTCCAGCAAAACTTCTCAAAAGCTTTTTATACATACACCCTTCCTCCTCTTCCCTGCCTCCTATTCTCCTTTGAACCCATTCCTTTTCAGTTTTTGATTCTACGACTCAATTTATCAAGGTCACTAATTCTTTCCAAGTTGCTAAATCCAGTAATCCCTTGTCAGAAGTCATCTTCTTCGACCTCTCCACCGCACTGAGCAGACATGAGCCCTGCCTTCTGGAAGCGCCTCTCCCTTGCTTCCAGGACCCCACGTACTCGCTTTCCTTCCTCCTCTGTGGCCACTCTGTTCAGCCTCCTTTGCTGATTCGGCCTCACTATCTTCCTCCCAGAATGTCGGAGAAGTGCCCAGCGGCTCTTGAGGTCTCATTCTTTCTCATGACTTTATTTGCCATCTGTGCAACACCTATCTCTGGCCAGCCCAGACCTCTGCCCTACATTCCAGACTCATATATCCTCTTGTCTACACCAGATATCACTCCAGCACGCAATAGGCTGCTCACACTCACCTAGTCCTTATATTCCCCCAGAGCTTGCTCCTTAGCTCCAGCCACTGTGACCTCCCCTTAGTCCTTGAATATGCCAGACGTGCCTCAGAGCCTTTATACGTGCCCCTTCCTCTGCCTGGAACAGTTTTTCTTTTTTTTTTAAGACTAGTGAAGTGCAGTAGTGAGAATGGGGGAAAGACTAGAACAAGGAGTCTGATTTGGAACTGGCTCTGTACAGTCAATTGAGATCACTCACTACCTTTGGACCAGCCCTAAACCACTCTTTATCCAGACAAATATCACCTTCTAAATAAGGCCTTCTCTGGCCATTCAACCTAAAATTGCAATTTCATCCCCCTCCTCCGATACTCCTTTATCCTCTTCCCTGGTTTATTTTTCTCTTTAGCACTTAACACCACTTAACATATATTTCACTCGGGCCGGCCCGTGGCTCACTCAGGAGAGTGTGGTGCTGATAACACCAAGGCCACGGGTTCGGATCCCATATAGGGATGGCCGGTTGCTCACTGGGTGAGCGTGGTGCTGACAACACCAAGTCAAGGGTTAAGATCCCCTTACCAGTCATCTTTAAAAAAAAAAAAAAAAATTTTCACTCATC